CCTAATGCAGACCCTTCATCATCCCTCACCTGGACTATTGGGGCAGCCCTGTAATCAGTCTCCCTCCCTGCGGTCTCTTCCCTCTCCAATCTATCTTCCAAGAAAACGAGTACCCCCAAATCAGGCCTGATCATGCTATTCCTCTCAAAATATATAGGTATATGTGTATAAATAAAACATATAAAATATATATATATAATCTAAAATATATATATTTATAAATATACTTTTTTTTCCAGTGACACCCTATTGTTTCTAGAATAAAATACCCATTTTTCAGCCTGGCATTTAAAGTCTTTCACCATCTTGCTCTCACTTGTCCCCTTTTTTATATTACACCCCCTAACAGCACTTAGCACATAGCAGGCCCTTAATAAATGCTTGTGGGCTTTCTTCTTCCCCAACCTGCTCTAAATTCCAGCCAAGCTGGCCTCTGCCATTTCCTATATCCAGCATTCCATTTCCCTACTCCATGTGTGGTACATACTCCTTCCTTACCACCATACCTTGGAATCCCTGGTTTCATTCATTCAAGGCTCAGCTTAAATGCTACCTCCTCCATAAAGCTTTCACTGATGTTCCTAGTTAGTATTCTGTCTCCCTTATCTATGTACATACTGTTTCTCTTCCTACTAGCTGTGTACCCTGGACAAGTCATTTTACCCTGTTTGCCTCAGTTTCCTCCTCTGTAAAATGAGCTGGGGAAGAAAATGGCAAACCCCTACAATATCTTTGCCAAGAAAACTTCAGATGGGGTCACAGACAGTCGGACACGACTGAAAATGATTTAACAAAGGTTGAACTGGGGTCTTCCTGAAGCCACATCCAAGGATAACAAAGTTATTTCCAGCTAGCTAGGACGTCTGAGTGTCTACCGTGGCCCATATTGATTTCACCTTTCTCTGAAATTGCTACCCTCATCTGAATTGGATTTAAGTGAGAGTGGCTGAGTCACCAGCCTCACTTTCACCTCCTGAGCCACCTATGTCCAGCGGCCAGATATGGATCAAGACAACTGGAGACGCCCAGGATGCAGTGGAGGACCTTGGCCTTTTCAGGCCAATAACAGTTGTTATTTACATTCATTATGAGCCAATCAGGGATGCTCTGCCCAAAGGGAATGTACATTTTTAATCTGAAACTCTTTTTTCTCCTTTTCTCTTAAAGACCAGCCTTAACCTCAAATCACTCGGGCTGTCCTTGATAGGTCCCAGGTCAAGCCTACTTGGTCATTGGGCCCTGAATGTAACAAATGTTTCTGTTTTGACCAGACCCTGAGGGTCTTTCCCTCCCAGATCTAATTTTTTTTTATTAATTAAATTTTTTTAAGAGGCCATTCTTTGCTTCATTTCTTACCTAGCCTTAATCACTGAATAGGATTTGCCTCAGTCAAACTGAGACTGTTAAGAACCTTAGCTTGAAAAGGCCAAGGTCCCCCAGTGCATCCTGGGCCATCTCCAGTTGTCCTGATCCATATCTGGCCACTGGACCCAGATCCAGTGAGGCTGGTGTCTTTGCGCAGCCTCCCTCACTTAAATCCAATTCACTTGCACGTCATGGCATCAACTCCCTGATGTCATTGTCCTCTTTGAGGACGAAAGAGAAAGAAAAAAAAAAAACCCAGCAGCTCTCATGTATTTGGGTACCAAACCATAAGATTTTGAGGAGTCCGTGGACCCAGTGGATAAGGTTCTGGATTGAGGGAGGTCACTCGAGAGCACCAACAAGACTCATTTATTTTGGGGTAGATGGCAGGTTTGATTGGCTGCCTCAACTCCGCCTAAACACCCTGCCACCCAACGGGTCATCTCTGCCGAGCAGCCCGGGCTCACCAGCTGAGAGAAGCCACAAGCCTTCAGTGGGCCAGCAAAGACGACATAGCCAAGCACGGTGATGGCTCGGGAAGGGGCGCAGCTGCCCAGGCGCAGGTATTGGCCGTCCAGAGAGGCCGACTTCTTCACGGCCAGGAGAACGTCTGTGCTGTTACACTCCTGGAGGAGGGCGTCGTCGGCCAGGAAGCTGGTGCTGACTTGGGGAAAACAAAGACCAAGCCTTTGGAATCTCTGCTGCCCGATGGTCCCCAGGAGCCCAAGCAGTAGGCTGGGAAGGCAACTGCCCTTGGAGCAGTGGGCGAGGAGGCAAGGTGACAGCTTCCATAGGACCCAGCCCAAGGTGGGCAGTCCTGCCCACAAGGCCATAGATACCACCCCAACTTACCCCAGGCTCTCCCACTGGCCTGGTGCGTGTTCCGTTACGGATGAAGCAATAGAGCCTTGCCTACCTGCTCTTAAAAGGCAATGCCTCCCCCCGCCCCCCCCAGGAAGAAGGAGCATGAAAGCAGGGGCTCTTAACCCTTTTTTAGCCCCTTTGGCCAGTCTGGGGAATCACATTTTTAAATAATTGAAGAAGGCCCTCCGTTTCAGTCAGAGGTCAATGAAAAGAAAGCTGGTGATTTTCTCTCATCTGAGTTCACAAACTCCCTGGAATCCCATGGAGCCCAGGTTAAGAAGCCCCATCTGCTCTCCAGTGATTGTGTTGGACAACTCTGTGTGTGTGTGTGTGCGTGCGCGTGTATATGTGTGTGTGCGTGTATGTGCATTGTGTGCGCGTGTATATGTGTGTGTGCATGTATGTGCGTGTGTGTGCGTGCGTGTGTGTGTATATGTGTCCCATCTTTCCAGGGATCCCAGCCCCCAACCAGCAGGAAGGCCTCTGTCTTTAGACTCCAAGTATGTGCGTGTGCGTGTATGTGTGTGTGCATGTGCGTGTGCGTGTGTATATGTGTCCCATCTTTCCAAGGATCCCAGCCCCCAACCAGCAGGAAGGCCTCCGTCTTTGGACTCCAAGTTCTCCAAGGCAGGGGGACCCTCCTCATTATTGAATGACTGGGGCAAACTGCAGAGACTCTTGGCCGACCCTTTTAACAGACCCCAGATCCTTGGTCCTGCACGGACCTCCCAGCTCCAACATCCTTCCTTCGGTGTTCTAAGGGGTTTCCCAAATCGGGGTCTTGGTTGTATTCTCCAAGAACCTACCCTTCTAACTTTGGGTCTAAGAGCCCCCAGCCTTGACGGTTTACACCCTGTTCCGACAGCCTGCATCCACAGCCTCATTCCCCACCTACCAAAACATCCTGGACTCTAAGAGCCCCGGTAGCGCAGAAAGTCTCAACCTCAGTATTGTTTGACGAGCTTTCCTCCAGCTGGGAGGAAGAAAGAGGGCGCACATAAGGAGGAGATTGGGAAGAGCTCCCCCTCCCCTCCCTCATCATCAGGGCCTGGGCCAGCCCCTCCCCCCAAACCCGGAGGAGGGCCCCTCAGTGCCCACGGGCTGCTGTGGGTTCCCCACTCACTCAGGGGGTGAAGAAGTGGGCAAAGGTAAATGCAGCCCATCGGAGGGAGAACCAAGATTTCACTCACCCTCCTGTGACAGGCACCAGCAAAAGGCCATCAGCAGCCGCCACCAGGCCTTGCTCTCAGCCCCAGGGAGGAACATGGCCACGTCATGGCTCCCCACTAGGGCCAGGCTTTATAGCCTACTGCCCCACCCCACCCCAGGCCCAGGTGTGGATCATTCCCACCCCTGGGCAACGGCTGCCTCCATCTCCCCACACCTGCTACTGCCCCAGCCAGAAGTGGGGCTGGAGACAGAGATGGAAGGGGCTGGGATTCAAGTGACCTGGGGTCCTTCCGGTTCCATTTCATCCAATAATTCACGGTGTGACCTTGGGTGAGTCATTTCCCTTTGTCTAGGACTCAGTTTTCTCATCTGAAAAACAGGGACAATAACCCTGCTGTCTCCCTATAGGGGCAGTCATAAGGGTCAGAAGACAGAATCGGAAAGGGTTTGTCAGGCACAAAGCGTAACAAAAATCTAAGTGATTAATACAGAATGTCAGAGCCAGGAGAGCCCTTAGAAGAGGGATGTCAGGGCTGGGACCTGATGATGTTCAGTCATGCCTAACTCTCCATGGGGTCTTCTTGGCAAAGATCCTGCAGTGGTTGGCCATTTCCTTCTCCAGCTCATTTTACAGATGAAGAAACTGAGGTGAACAAGGTAAAGTGACTTGCCCAGGGTCACACAGCTAGCTAAGCGCCTGAGGCCAGATCTGAACTCGGGGAGATGAGTCTTTCTGACTCTAAGCCTAGGGCTCTACCCACTGAGCCACCCAGTTCCTCTTCCTTTCCTTTATTTGGATAAACTGAAAATCCCTGAGCTCTGCCAGCCTCTATGCTCTCCCTATGACACGTGAGGGACTGAGGCCCAGGAGCTGAAAGGTGTCCTGGCCCCTCCCAGCTCTCAGTCAGCTTCGGGTCATTGTCCCCTCTCTAGAAGTCTCTGGGCTCCTCAAATCCCTTAGCAGGAGGTGCTTTCTCAGACTGTCCCCATCACCCTGCCCATCCCAAACCCATCTTTAGGCAGAAGCTCCCCCAGTCAGAGGGCAACCCACAACATCTGGGGGTCCCACCGGAGCCAAGGCATTTCCCTGGCTGGCCTTGGCTGAGCCTGGAGGGTTCCATCCCCCTGCTTCTGACCCAGATCCCTTCATCCCCAGGTGAAGCCAAGAGAGCCCTTCTCAGGACAACAGCTTGAAATTACAATAAAATTAAAAAGAATAATACTCATAATAAAAGTTAAAATACACAAGATTACCAAAAAAGCAATTATCCTGGAAATGTTGTCAAAATAGTGAAAAACAAAAGTTCACAGATGGCAGGTTAAGGGTCTCTGTCTAGTCAGATTCTAAGATCAGGACATTCCATGCCCTAACCTTTCCATCTCAGACATCCCCTGTTCTAACGGCTGTCCAGCTGGCATACTCACACAAACAATGGTGAACTTTCGGGCAGCCAGAGGTGAGGGATCTCTGGGCAGGGCCCCGGGCATCTGTGCTGCCCCGATAGAAACCCCGCCCAGCGCTCGGTAGGGTGGATACGAAGGATGAGGGAACAAGAAAGCTGGCCTGCCCACCCACTCCCACGAACAGAAAAGGCGAATTCTGCTAGACGTGAATTGTGTTTATTGAGCACCTCGAGAGTCCTGCAGGGTCACTCACCAGGCCCTCCTCTGGGCAGCCTTCCCCAGGACAGAGACGTGGGAGGGAGGGGTCTTCCCAGCTCCCACAATTAGGTCACAGTATTCTGGGTTTCCCCCCATCCCTGCTTCCAGAGAGACCACCACCCGATCTGATTGGCATTTCACGCCCCCAGAATTCTCCCTGAGCAACTTTGGGCAAATCGTTTTCCCTCCCTGAGCCTCAGTTTCCTCATCCATTGAATGGGGCTAATAATACTGGCACTAAGTCCCCCTCAGTGTTGCTGGGAGGGAAAGCACTTTGTAAATGCTAAAGAAATGGGGCAGGGTGGGGTGGGGGGAGGGTGATGCTTCTTACACAGTGTTAGTTTGGTTGGGGGGGGGCAGTGAGAGAAACCACAACCCAGGAGTCCCAGGAACTGGCTCTACCACTGACTTCACAGTATAACCTAGGGAATGTGCTTCCCTCCACTCTGGCCATCAGTCTCCTCCTCTGATGATCTGAGCTCCAATGATTTCAGGTCCCCAGGCCCCCACTTTGGAGGTTCCCAGGAGGATGAGGCATCAGTTGGCATGCGGGAAGAGCTGGGCCCAAGGCAGGGCTGGAGGCGTCAAGCGGAGCTGGGCTTCTCCTGAGAAGGGTAGAGTTTACGTAGGCTGGAGTCCATCAGGAAATCCACTGACCTGTGGAGACACGGAGGCAGGGTTTGGGGCGGCCAGTGGCTGTGCAGCCAGCCTCCTTACGGGTCACTTTGGGTGGGGAAAAAAATCCGACCTCCCCATTTGACAGAGGAGGAAACTGAGGCCCAGTCTCGCCCAGAGTCCCACAGCCACTAGGTATCTGAAGCAGAATTTGGCTCTAAATCTGTTTTACGATCCTATCCACTGCACTACCTAGCTGGGCTGCTAGGTGGCGCCATAAGGCATAGAGCTCCCAACCTGGAGTCAGGAAGACCCGACAGGTGGTAGCTGCGTGACCTTGTTTGCCTCAGTTTCCTCATCTGTAAAAAGAGCAGGAGAAGGAAATGGCAAACCACTCCAGTATCTTTGCCAAGAAAACCCCAAATGGGGTCATGGAGAGTCAGACACCCCTAGGGGCCTCATCCCAAGAGGCAGCCCCTTCCACTTGGAAAGCGTTAGGAAATTTGTTCCTGATGTCGAGCCTAGATCGGCTTCTTTGCACCACGCACCCATGGTTCCTGGCCTCTGCTCTCTGGGGCCGTGCAGAGCCGGGCTGAGCCTTCCCCGCCTCTCTTCTTAGCCTTCTCCTGGCCAACTCGGCCAATTCTGTCAACCAAGCCTCCTACGCCACAAACTCAAGCTCTTATCCCCCGGCTGCCCTCCTCCAGCCCCTCTGCAGACCTTATCTTAAACCCCAGCGCTCAGAAAGGAACCCAGCCCTCCCAATGAGGCCTGCCCCAGGCACAGAACAGCGAGTGGTGCCTTCCTCCTCCAGGAAGTTCTGCCGGCTTAACAAAGCCTGGGAGCCAGAAAGCTACCTCTCTGCAGTTACTGAGCTGGAAATGTGCCTAAGAGAACCCAAGGTGGCCAGGCGGCAAGGGCGTCATGACTGCCATCTAGCAAATCACACACACACACACACACACACACACACATACATACCCCTATACATACACACACTCACACATACACACACACACCCCCATACATGCACACACTCACACATACACATACACTCACACAAATATACACACTCACACCCATACCTATACATACACACATGCACACTGATACACATACACACACATATACATTCACACATACACACACTCTCACACATATATCCACACACACACACACACCCCCACTGGTTCCTTCCCCAGTGCCTTCAGTCATGCTTAGGCCTCCCTCATCCCTAGCCACACCGGACAGCCAAGCCCTCCTGCCATCTTCCTGTATCTCGGCTCCCTTTCTCAGACAAATACGCTGCCTCCCCCTCCTCTCCCTCCCCTCACGACCGTTGCAGTCTGACTTGCAAACCGCCCGACTCCACAGAAACTGTCCTCTCCACAGCCATCTCCTCCCTGGCAGATCTGACGCTTTTCCTCCAGTCATTCTCCTTCCCAGACCCCGGGCTGCAGCTGACCACCCACGCCTCCTTGCAGTCTGGGACCCTCGGCTTTCTCCCCGTTCATCCCCGGCCTCTCTGCCTGCTCCTTCCCAGTCTCCTCGGCCGGCTCGTCGTCCCTACCAGGCCCATGGGCCATGAACGGCTCCCAAAGCTCCGTCCTAGGCTAAGCCCACTGGTCTCTTCCTTTTAGCTACCCTGGTCACCTCAGCAGCTCCTGTGGGTTTCGCAGATGTTTCCCTCCCTCCTCAATGTCTCCCTTGGGCCTCTGCCCTGCCCCACCACTGCCTGCTGGATGTTTCTAACTGGATGTCCCACGGCTCACACTCGCTAGGTTTCGAACCAAACCCCTCCCCAGCCTCCCTTCTTTCCAACGTCCCTCCCCATTGCCAGGTCTGTGGCCACAGAGCATCCTGGACCCTTCCCTCTTCCTCATCCCCCTGACCCACCCTCCTCCGTCACACTCCCACATCCACCCCTTCTCTGCACCGTCCCCTCACCTACGTAAGGTCGCCCCGCCTCCTCTCCCTCCACCCCAGTCTATCCCTCACACCCCTCCCAGACCTTCCTCAGGCACAGATCTGACCATGGGACTTCCCTACCCGACCACCTTCAGCGGCTCCCTGGCTGGGGCACTGACCACCGTGCCTCCCCCGCCTCCTCCCTCTGCCGTGCCGGCCCCTGCTCTCCCTGGTGATGCCCCTCCACTCAGGGGTGGACGGGCCGGCCAGGCTCCACTCCTCTCCTGGCCGGGATGCTGAGGCCCGGCGCTTAGCACAGGCCAAGCAGATCCCTAAAGGGGGTGGGAGGAAGCCCAGTGATGTCCAGCAGTGCCAGCCCCGGGTGAGGGCCCCGTGAGTACCTGTCGATGGGGTGAATGATGACGGGTATGGCCATCAGCCCCAGGGCCGTGGTCGTCCACTTGCGGGCAGCCAGGGGCCAGCTGGTGGCTCTGCTGAGGACGTAGAGAGAAGTGGCGCACAGACGGTTGATGGTGAAGCCCGGGATGGCCACAGAAGCCAGTGCCTGCCAGATGAATGTATCCATCACGGCCACCGCCACCTTGGCGGTCCTGCCCGACTCTGGGCTCAGGGCCTGTGGGGAGAACCAAACAGGAGACTGCTGGAGCTGTGAGGGGGCTGTCTGGGCAGGGGCTGGAGGACTGAAAGGGGGGAGGGTCCACCAGCATCACGAAGAGGGACACCCCCAGGGCAGTGAGGGGGAGGTGCAGGACAAGCAAGCTCTCTCCTCATCCTCAGGAAGGAATAGGGCGGTCCCCAGGAGCGGGGAGGAAGTGGCTGTCCGGGAGAAGTGTCCCCGGGACTGTACCCCATCTGAGGATGGGGTAGGGTGAAAATGGGTGGTACCGCGTGGGCAAACGGTCCCCGTACGCACAGCTCTGGTCTTCTTGCCCTTGTCCACAGCGTCGGCCACCACATAGGAGCTGGCCACCCCGTAACTCAGCCACACCACAGAAGTGGGCACGATTGCTCTGAAGGCCTCTCCCACTTCATTGGCATAACCTGGATGGGAGAGAGGCTTTGTTCACGACCCCACTCGGGGTTTTCGTGGCAAAGATCCTGGAGTGCTTGGCCATTTCCTTCTCCAGCTCATTTTAGAGATGAGGAAACTGAGGCAAACAGGGTGAAGTGACTTGCCCAAGGTCACATAGCTAGTAAATGTCTGAGGCTGGATTTGAACGCAGGTCTTCCTGACTCCACTCCATCCAATCCTCTTCGAGAAGGCGCAGAAATGAGCACAAGGTTGGAGAGAGCAGGAAGAAACAAGGATTAAGGACAGAATGAGGTCAAAAGCCGTGGAGGAAGCCTGGCTTGGCAAAAAGTGGTGAAAGGACTGGGGGAGACCTGTGTCCGTCCTTTGGCCTCCGGGGTACCAGGGCCAATCTTCCCTCCATCTGCAGCTTGGGGCCCTAGAGAAGGGGGGCTCCCAGAATCCCCCACGCTCTGGGCAAACTCCTTCAGTGGTCTGGAGAAGTCTCTGGGCCGCTTCTCAGAGTGTTTTTAAATGCATAAAATAAAACATAGGGGCAGCTAGGTGGAGCAATGGATAGAGCACCAGCCCTGAAATCAGGGGACCTGAGTTCAAATCCGATCTCAGACCAAACACTTGACACTTACTAGCTGTGTGACCCTGGGCAAGTCACTTAACCCCAATTGCCTAAAAATAAAAAAATAAATTAAAATATATAGGGTTACAAAGGAAGCCAATCATTCTGAAACACAGTTGTTCAAAATTAAAAACCAAAACAAATTCATAAGCCCCAGGTTAAGAGCCCCTGCTCTAGGCTCTGCCACTCATGTGATGGGGGTGGGCGGGGAGGGGGCTGGGAATAGAAGGCCCCTTTTCTTTTCCCTCCCCCCAAGACCAGGTGACTCCTCCCCTGTGTCCTTCCAAAAGGGGAAAAGGGGCGTTGGGGTACAAAGAGTCCTGGCCAGGGAAAGGAGCCCCCAAGTATAAGCTCTGCCACTAACTGGGGGGGGGGGAGGTGTGCCACCTCCTTCTGGAGTAAGTGACCGGGCTGGTGGCTTTGTTTCTTTTTTGGGGGCGGGGAGTTCCCTGGTTACCAGCCAAGCCTGTTCCTGCCCCATACCTTGAGCCTTGGGCTGATCCACCATACCCCTCCTAACGGGAGACTCCCCCCCCAGCAGTCCCCTCCCCCACCCCAGCCCTCCGATCCCGGCTCCAGCCCCGTCCCCCTTGGGTTGTCTGCCCAACTGTGCCAAGCTGGGGAGCGGGGGGCTTCCATTTAGGAAGGGCAGGGCCCCAGGACTCGGTCCCCACTGCATCCGGGCTTGCACTCGGAAGGTTTAGTGGCCCCCGAGGCTGCCGCAATATGGAAACGAAAGAGGCATTACAAACAGTGCCCGAAAATGTGAGAACAGGAAAGGATCCCAGACCCCGGAATGTCAGCGCAGGGAGAGACCCTGGGGCACAGAACCGCAGAACGGGAGACCCTGGGGCACAG